ACTTCATCCCTTCTATCGTGGACATCATCTCCTCTATCATTGCATCCTTATTATGTGTTGATTTCCTCATAGCCTGTATTACTCAAAGCAGCATTCTGAATATTTATTTTATTGCAGATCAATGTGTATTTCTTCAATGAGTGCTGTTACATTAAGGACCTCTTTTGCTTTTGCAGTTTGCTTTTCTTGTTCTCCTGTTGAGAGTGTTGAGGTATATTTCTGTCTGCATGTCCGTTTGGAAGAACTGGGCCCCATGCTGTGGGGACTTGAGCTCTTTCTCTGTGTGACTGGTAAGAGTGCTTTCAGGGACTACCTGTGGCCTACTATGGGAGTGGGTCAGACTGAGGTGTAGGTGAGGTGCTGTGTTGACTCAGTGGCCAGTCTGTGGGGGCTTCAGAGGGTGTGCTGAGGTCAGCGACTGTAGATATGCCATTGGGCTGGGTTGGGATAGGTTTGCAGTGTGGGCACAGGCCTGGTCTGCACTGTCTGCCACAATCTGCAGTATTTTCAAGACTCTCTGTGGAGCCCCAAACTGGTAGAGAAAGTTTTTGGCCTGGGCTGTGCCTTTCAACTGCTGGGTTTTACTGTTTGTTAAGTTAAAATCCTAGGATGTGCTATGGGGATTAGAGTTCTGCCTGTCTTGTTATGTTAATGATTAGCTAATAGACCAGACCAGATTTCAGGTGGCTTACATTCAAAGTTAGGCAAAAGAACACAGCCTGGATTGTAAGCATTTAATTTTTTTTTCTTTTTATAATGGGCTTGTGGGATGTCCTGGTATTGGCTCTGCTATTTAGCTGAGTGGTTTGTGGGCAGACTGGATCTGAATTCTTCCCAAGCTGCACTCCTGTGCCACTCCCAGTTCTCTCCTGCACAGCTATATCTAGGGTAAATATCCCAGGGGCTCCTCAATTGCTGCAAATTAGTGACTAATTATCTATTGTTACCCATGCTGGCAGGTGCAGAGCTGGGGAGAGGGGGTGAAAGGATGTCTGATGTAGTCACAATGTTCCTTGCTGAGGATGGAGGATGCAAAGCTAGAGAATTCAGGAGTGGGTTGGAGAGCAGAGAAGGGAACTGGGGTTTGAGGCTTGTGGTTAGTGCTCCAAAGCTTTCCATGAGCCTCATATTATGACCACCTTTAGACAGCAGCCTGGGGAAATTACTGCATGCTGCGAGTCTCAGATCTTGGGGTGTAGGAAGGGGTGGCTTGTGTCATTCCACTGGAACTCCTGTAGGAATAGCGGATCCCGCAGGCATACAAGATGTACTCAGAGTGTTTCAGTGAGTTCTCACATCGCTCCGTGGGCAAGAATCACAGGTAGAGGTCTAAAGCAGACCCTTAGTACACTGAATCTATTTTTAGCACCCAGCCTTCCAATATTGGCCTCATTACCTCTTAATTTTCTCATCTAACAACAGGAGCATGGGGCAGGTGATTCTACCTGGGTGCCACTTTGACTCCTCTGACAGTCATTCTTAATATGGGCACAATGTTTAACTTCTCCATGGTTCTGGAGCTTGGTGTCTAGTCCTTTCCAAACATGTAGCTCCTTTTTTCCGAAGTCCATCCCTTTTAAACTTCACTAAAGATAGAACCTGAGTTAAGACCCTTACCTTGCAACATAGGGCAGCTCTGTCGAACGCTTATTATTTTCTGCTCAGGGTAGCTAGTAAGGCTATCCGGCACTCCTACACGTACACATTTTCTTGCCTCTCAATACATGTGTTTTGGTCACTGTGTCTCACTTTCAAGTTTTCTCTATTGTTTAACATCTTGTTATTTTTCTCATTTTTGCTTATTTCATTCTAGCAAAAATGTCCTGAAATAGCTGTTTATACAGAATGGACAGAATGTGACACTATGTTTCTTCTAAAGCAGTATTCAAGACTCTATACAAAGAGTTCCCGAGTCACAAAGGCTGTGCCTCTCCATTCTGACTCAAACACTGCTGCAGTCAGAGAATATCTCCGCAATTTGTTTTATCTTCTACATAATGTGCAGAGTGGTGACAATCACAAAGTCTTTGCAAAATAAGGAGACATTGTAGTAATTGTCTTCTCAGAAATTATGAACCCTTCTAACGCACACTAATATATACGTAGATTCATTTTAACTACAAAAATGCCTCTGGCATTGAACTTACTACTATTTTAACCAGGAGATTAAAAGGTAATTATCATTACTCTATCTCCTGATATGGCTCAGAGGTTCCTTTAGGATTGGCCATTAGTCCAGAGATGAAGACATGAAATTTCATACACTCATGACCTATGCTGTAGGATTAATTTATGACCATGAAAAAAAAAAGTGTGTTCCTTGTGGGTATATGTGTGGGTGGTGAATCCCTAAGAGTTAATCTGGCAACTACTGATGACCACTGATAAGCAGATATCTTTGTTTTATTTTTTCTATACATTCCCAATGCATATAGCAATGTATAACATATTGTTCAAAGAATAAATGAAGGAAGGACTCCTGAACAGAAACAAAGAAGCTCATGATTAGAAAAAAAGCATAAATATGAAAAGGTCCCTGAAATTTTTGAGTTCCTACATCTAGGTCCCCCCAAATCCCATTCTCATGCTGCCCTCCTCGGGGTTAAGGAAGCCAGTGGTGTCTTCTTTTTATATAAGCTGCTTTGAATTTAGTTTCTGTCATTTGCAACCCAAATCCTCCAAATTAATTGCCTACCTAGTACCTATATGCAATTTAACATAAATTTAAACATATTTACCTATCTAATTAAACCATAACCAAAAACATCCAAGACCATTAACATCAAGTCAATTCTGACTCATAATGATATTTTATAGAGTTTCTGAAGCAGTAAATATATACTGGAGCTGAGAGCTTCACCTTTCTTATTTACTGACCTAGCTAGGAGGGAGATTAATGTTTCATCAAGGGGAGGCTGGCATGACTGTGATCTTCAAATATAATTTATGAGTGGCTGATGACAAAGGTGTTATCGAAAAATACATGAGGAGGTCATTGCAGCTGAAAAGATTACATAGAGTGGTATCTAGATGCGGGTCAAGAGGAAACTCATTGTCAAAGTGAGAGTGAAGACAGAGGAGTGGTACCAGACAAGGTCAAAAAGATGCAGCAGGAATTTTGAATAAACTTACATTTAGAATCCAGATGCTAGGTTTACTTCCTATCACTCCTTCTCTGTTGCGTCCCGGCCTGCGGGACGCAGGAGCAAGGGCCCTGCGGGGAAAGTGGAACCTGGATGGAGAAAAGAGACACGTAGACGTGGAGCAAGACAAAACTCTGATCAAGCTCATTTATTTGGGCAAAGCTGGGGTATAAAAAAGGGGGAACTGGGAGGTGCATATTTTAATAAGGTGTGCGACACAGCATCCAATCCAACAGGTACATTAATGAAGCATAAGAACGTTAACCAATCAGCTGTAGGTAAAAGGGCGCGCACTAGTTCTCAAAGACGTCCTGCATGCAGATTAAGGTCCATCAGGTGTAAAGCAAAGTCCATCTTAGTCCAATGAGCGCCTGGCATTATTAACCAATGGGTGAAAAGGTCAACTTTACAACTGCCCGTGCTACAGAGCACGTAGCTAGGAACGTGGAGGCAGGAATTTAGGCAGGGCCTTACAGGTTTTGCAAATGAAAGACTAGGAAGCAGCCAAGTTCGGCTCAGGCTGAGGCTAAGGCCTTAAAGGCCACCGGCTCCCAACACTTCTCTTCATTTTTATTTCTCTCAATGGTTTGAACAGCTTATCCATAGACCGGTATGTTCTAAAGAATGTGACTCATATCAGGAATAAAGTACATATTACAAATCAGTCTCTGATGTCCCAATTTCCTGAGAAGTGTACGTAAAATGCCAAGTATGCAGGCTTTTCAGTCATCTAAGGAGAGATAATTACTTGGGGCCAGAAACTAAGGAGAGGTTTCTGGCCCAAACTAATTATATTCCAATTTTTTGCCTCTGTTCTTGAGAAATGAACTAAATTTCAACGAATGTGAATAAAGGGCATCTAAAGGGCACTGTCATTGAGTGCTCACAGCTGCACCAATATGTATCAGCATGATAAATGGAGAAAGTATTAAAGTTGTGAAGGATTTCATCTTGCTTGTATCTACAATCAATGCTCATGGGAGTAGTAGTCAAGAAGTCAGGTGACACATTACATTTGGTAAATCTGCCACACAGACCTCTTTAAAGCAATGATTCCCTCATTGAAGTGTTGATGAGGAAGGATGTAACTTTGAGGACTCAGTGTGTCTGCCCCAAACACTTCATAGGCATAGGAAAGCTGGACAGCAAATACAGAAGATGAGAGAAGAACTAGTGCCTTTGAATTATGGCATCGAGAAGAATATCGAAAGCAGTGCTGCCAAAATGTGTTAGTCTGTGTTGATTAGAGAAACTTCTGCATTATCACCAACCCCCATTGTTTTTGCCAAGTGTTGCATGTCCAGTCACTTATGAGCTTAATCTGTCCAATCCAACAACACTAAATAAATAAACACATTACAAGCATCAGACTTTAACAAAGGGGCTCAAAATGCCTCCTGAATCTCTAGTGAATCATGATACCAAAAGGAGGAAAGAGAGAAAGAAAGAGAAAAAAAAACTTGCACCAGTCAAATGCAACATTTCTGTGATCACTTTAGCTTAATTGCTACTATACTATACTTGAAAATCATTTAGCCTAGAAAAGCTCACCAAATCTATAATCTCTTAGGTAATTACTTTTCATTTTGCTGAGTTTTCATGATTCATTTACAATTATGGAATGACTCTGTTCCTGCCACAGAGAATGACAACAGACAAACTCCTCTAGCACCTCTTCATGTATCCCAGCTTCAGGTAGGGTTCTCTAGAACAGGGATTTTACAAAAGACCAGTCGAGTAAACAATGAGTTCTACCTGAAGAAAGGAGCAAAGAGGACAGTGTTGCAAGCAGGGAATATAATGACCAAGTGAGTCAAAGTAATGTCTAGCAAATTTTAAAATAACATTGAACTGGTTATGCTTGCTTCAGCAGCATATATTCTAAAAGTGGAGTGCTAGAGAAGATAAGCGTGGCTCCTGAACCAAGACGACACACAAATATCTGAAGCATTCCAAGTGTACTGGTTAACAAAATAATTCAATTGGTTTCTCTTTCATGTTTAAACTATGCCTGTTCTTTAAAAAGGTATAAACCTATGCTTAGAAACATGATCAAAGCAGTAGTTGATTTGAGGCTGTATGTAGTTCTGGAGCTTGTACATGGATCAAGAGGCAGTTGTGCCTACAGAACAAGGACATACTGCCTGGTTTAAAATCAGGAAAGGTGTATATGTCAGGGTTGTGTCTTCTCACCATACTTGTTGAATCTGTACACTGAGCAAATAAATAATCAGAGAAGTTGGCTCAGATGAGGAAGAATGTAGCATCAGTTAGGGAGGAAGACTAATTAACAACCTGTGATATACAGGTGACACATCCTTGACTTGCTGAAAGTAAGGAGGAATTGAAGCACTTGCTGATAAAGACCAAGGATTGTTAGGCACACTTTCATCTTCAAACTAACATCCCTGCTCTTCAATTATCTAAAGAGGTCTTGTGCAGCATACTTACCTAATGCAACTTGTCTTTTGATATCTTGACTGCTGCTCCCATGTGCAGTGATTGTGGATCCACCCAAGACAAAATCCTTGACAACTTGAGACTTTTCTCCATTTATGATGTTATCTATTGGTCCAGCAGTGAGGATTTTGGTCTCCTTAACATTGAGTTGTAATCCATACTGAAGACTATAATTCTTGATATTCATCAACAAGTGGTTAAAGTCCTCCTCGTTTCCAGCAAGCACAGTTGTGCTAGCTGCATAAAGCATGTTGTTAATAAGCCTTGTTCAATTCTGATGCCACGTTCTTCTTCCTATATCCATTTTCTCTATGATTTGCTCAACATACAGATTGAACAAGAATGATGAGAGGATAAATCCCTGATGCACACTTTCCTGATTTTAAACCATGCAGCATTCCCTTGTTCTGTTTGCAAAACTGCCTCTTGATACGTGTACAAGTTCCTCATTAGCACAATGAAGGGTTCTGGAATTCACCTTCTTATCAAGGTTTCATAAGTACATTCCTAGATGCATTTAAAATTTTATTGTGTATTCAGTAACATGAGAGGACCTTTACTTAAGCTTGGATGAACTTGATAGTACAGGTACTAAGGACTTTTATTATATTGCAATAGTTATGGTGTCTGGAGCAGTCAAGACCATAGCTTCACTTTATTCTGTGCTTGTTGGTCCACTCCAGTAGTGTTATATCAGGAATTGGTACTATCTTTTACAAGGGATGGAAATGAACCAGAAGACCATGAGATTAAACAACTGGGATGGTGAACACCTCGACTAAGTCGAGGTTATCTGAGAGTGTTAAATCTGCACAAGGAAGGACTTGGTTAAGATGTTAGAACTATCCTCATAAGAACAGAAATGTCACTGTGTCCAGTTCTATTGTGAATTCCACCACTACTGGTGGTATGACATTTTTTTGCACTGACAACTGTATATTTTCTACTTATTACATGCCATTGAGTCCATGCTAACTCATGGTGACCCTACAGGATAGGGTGGAGCTGCCCTGTGGTTTTCTGAGACTGACTTTTCATGGAAGTAGGGAGTCTCATCTTTCTCCAACCAACAATAAGGAAGTCAGATAAATACAATTCCATTATGCAGATGGTAAATCTAAGGTTGGTGATAGTGGTGTCTAGGTGCTGGAAGTCTCACCTTCCATGTGGGAAACCTGGCTTTGAATTCCAGCCAATGCTCATGTATGTCCAGGGAAATGTGTGTTATTATGATGCTGAACAGAGTTGAGCAGAGGTTCCAGACTCAGAGTAACTAGGAAGAAAACAATATTCAATGTACTTCTGAAAATCAACAATACAACCCCATGAATCACAAAAGTCCAACGATCTATAATCAATGAAAGGAATCAGGCAGGAATGGACATCTTTTCATTTTATTGCACATAGGGTCACCAGCAGTTGAGGGCTGACTCCTTGGAAAATAACAAAAATAAAGCTGAGGTTTAAATGTGTATGAAACGTTGAATGTATAACTGATCATTTGTTTTGTAAACTTTCACCTAATGCACAGTAAAAAGTTCAAAAATAATATTTAAAAGGAAACTTTAGGCTAAACAAAAATGTTAACTCACCTACATAATGAAATGAAGAGCATAAGATGATATTTGGGGGAAAAACATTAAAGGGTTTCTTTATCATATTTATGTTTGCATTAGAAGATAATTGATTATTGAATATGACACTGATATAAGGATAATCATACTCATATTTAGTAATAGTTTAGTATGTACACAAATATATATACATGACTTATTGTCAGCAAAGCAGCTAAGTAAGCCAACAAAATCTTCTTAAAAGTTGGAACAACTCAGTTCTCTTAAAAATGTATCTTAGGATCATTCCTTTGAAGAATGTGTCAGAATTGTCTCAAAGTGTCAGAGACTTAATCTTCAAAGCTAAAACAAAGCATAAAGGAAAATATTTTACAACTTGCAATAACTAGAGTCCCTAATCAAGCCACAAATATCCCCAAACATAAGAGAAAGATTTGGTGCATTCGACTTCATAAAAATTAAACCTTCTGCACTTTGAAAAGCACCATTGAGATAGTTAAGGTTTGTTGTGCCAACCTGACTGGTGAACACATGTGGGGTTAATTGAAGGATGGAGAGATAAATGTATCGGTAAGCCTCACCTTTCTAGTTCTTGGGTCTCTTGCTTTCTGATGTTCAGACCAGGGTGCATCTGCCTTAGCCAGTGCCCTGCTTCAGCTTGCAAGGCTCACTTCCTGCAAGACATTCCTGAGGAGAAGCCACATAGACCTACCCTGGTGCAGCCCTGGGTGCTGGAGCAGTCTTTTGGAGACCCCTGCCAGTGCTGAGATGCTTACACACTCACTGATTCAGCTTTCCTCCTGCAGTAGGCATCATCGCTTGTGTTTTGTGAGATTGAGGAGGACTTTGTAGTTAGTGTTGGACATAAGGGCTTAGACAGCCCTGGATTGAGATGCTTTCTTAATGTACACGTATCATCTATATGAAACTCTGTTATACATATGAGTTTCTGTGGATTTGTTCCCCTAGCTTACCCAGAACAACATAACCATTGAGGTGTAAAAAGCCCAAAAAAGCGTAAAGCCATAAAAGGTGTAAAAAGCCATAACAAATAATATTCATAATATATATGCATGACAAAGGGCTTATATATCCTGAATGCATGAATAACTTGTAACTTAAGAGCCATGGATTAAGCTGGCCAGGTTAATACTGCTCTATCCTGAACCTCTAATACACTTGGACATTGCATATGAAATCACTTTGCATTTACTTATTTGGCTTTTGGTTCTGGTGTACACCTGAGATACTAAGTGGGATCACATGAGGGTCCAATGCTATCTAAGTCTCCGGAAGCTGGTGTTGGGCCAGTAAAAACCTAGGAGGTTGGAGACACACTGAGTTTTCTGGGCTGGAGAGCATAAACTTTGGTCTAGGAGAGGTAGCCCAGCCCTTGAGAATGAGTAAGTTCTGTGCTACACAACACAAATCCTTGTCTCAGAGTGGAGACACCAACCCACTGATAAGAACTTGGAAGATTCATCAGAAGGGACTGGAATCAGAAGTAGCGGAAACTGGACCCCGTAGAATGCAGAGTGAGAAGAAGCAGAAGCCAAAATCCGCAGAGCAGAGGAAAGGCAGCAAAGCTATCCGAGCGGGGAGGCAAGCTAGGGATACTGGGGGCAATAGCAGCAGTAAGGTAGTTGATGCCAGGAAACCTGGCCTGCTGACCAGAGGACCAGAGGAGGCACTAGGGGGGCTGTCTGCTGAGCCTGAGGGCACATCACATAGGGGTTGCCCTTAGAGTAGTTCTGCATCCAGAGATTTGTCCAGGATTGTCCTGAGATATTTCATTGAGTTTTTCCAGTAGCAAAGGGGACAGAGCCAGCCAAGAGATATGCCAGTCCAGTGATGTAAAATCAATCATTGCTTTCTATCTCTGCATGCTGTTTTCTACCTCTCTGTAATGTTAACTATCTGCCTACATGTTGCTAATTCTCTGGGAGCCACTTCTGCGTCTTGTCTCAGATCGGATGAACAGGTATTAGTGCACAACCAATAATCAATTTGAATTGTTTAAACAAAAGAAAATAAAAAAAAAACAAAGCTGAGGTTTATGAAAGAAAATAAGTTGCCAATGATCCCACCCAGGTCAATACAGAGGACGTCTGGAATTTAAACTCAGATAAGTGATTTTCATAGTAGATCCTCTTTGCCTGGCTGTTTTAGTGACTCAGAAATGATTATGATCTCATGTAGTGTGTGTAATACACAGACAACTGACCTCATTTGGAAGGCACTCCCATATGATGTGATTACTGTCCTCTGATTAGAGTTACTGATACACACGCATTGTGTGAGGTCTTTACGTACTTCATAAACCTTCAATTCTGGGAGGCTTTATGGAACTCTCATAACATGCCACCATGTAGGTTTCTGTATTGCATCTGACAACCAATGAGCTACAGTTTTTCTCAGCAATACTCTAAGTATTCTTTAACAGGATAATAGGCAGCAGTGGGTATTGATTATTGTATGTTTCAGGCAAGTCAGCAACTCAGTCATACCTCTAGCGTTACCCAGTCAGTCTCTTGCCTAAGAATGAGTGTGTTTTTATTAATCAATTGCTGTTTATTTGACACATGGCTGTCTGGGTAAATTTAAATGATGTGTATTTAAGAACCTTGATATAAACCTCTACCTTAGGAACAGTCATTTATCAGAGACTAAGTTGTCATTAATAACCTTTCCCCGGGGAATTGCAGCCAAATGGTTATGTATTTGGTGATATTGGGCCTTTAGTTAGACATGCTGAGAAAGTTAATCTTCCATTTCAGAAGAAGAATAGGATGTGATGTGGTAAAACAGTGGCAGGGTCTACAACAGAGACTGCATAATTCTCTCAGGAAAGGAATCCTGGCGGCCCAGGGGGTTTCTCCCCTAGTTGGGGTGTTACCCACACGACCACCACCAGCATTTCAAAACCAC